GCTGGCTCTATAGGCAGGGAGCTAACCAAGGAACTACAGCTCCCAGGTCCCCCTGTTGGTTCTCAGCTCCCATGCTGGATCCCTGCCGCCCCTGCAAATGGGCTGCCCCAAGCACTTGCTTGCTTTGCTGGTGCCTAGAGCTGCCCCTGTTGCCCAGTTAGGGCCCAGATTCCCACCTGCAGACATGAGGGGTGTGTCTGCAGGGGTAGTTGCACTGGAGTGGGAAGATTTACCCCTGCAGGGAGGGCAGCTGAGAAATCCAGGCAGAGGCTGCATGCGAGAAGCACTGAATCATTATTATTATTACTACTATTTACAATATGGAAGCAGCTTGGGACCCCTATTGTGCAAATCACTCTGCAAACAGACCAAGACACAGCCCTGCCCTGAACAGCTTACAACTGAATCCGTGTCTCTCCTGTCTCGCCCCTGGTTGGCTCCATCCATTTTTCGGGCTACTCCAGCAGCTAGTTTTGATTACTTAGTGCAGGGGGGTAAGGGGGTCACAACCTCTGCTGCATGTGGGCTTACTGTAACCAGGGGCTGCGATCTGGGAGTGAAGCTGGTCCCTGAATTATTGGAGCTTGGGCCAAGTGAATGATTTGCATTATGGAACCTACTAGGGGAACGTAACATCTTTTCTCTGCTCATGCTCAGATTGCGATTTCTTCTGCTCTATTAATGAATCATCTCTAAGTTCTTGCATTAATCATGAGCACTCAGTGGTCATGCTTGTGCTGCTTGGTACGGATTGGTCACAAAAGCCACATGGTATTCCGTGTCCTGAGTGGGTGAGCATCCGAGCACTTCCAGCATGAATTCTAGCAACTGCAAATGAAACATTCCATTTCCATGACTCATCTTACGCGCGACCCTAATAGTCACATTCCGCAAACCTTCGTGCCAGCAAAACTCGATGGCGTGAATATTTGCAGAAAGCAAAGGTAACAGCAACCTTGGTCTGTCACTGGGGGTTGACAACACCACCTCCAGCGCTAGAGAATGAGCCCCTGCAGCTTAGGCTAAAGGACAACCCCCTTAGCTGGGAGCTGTAGCTGGCTCATGCAACAGAGGGGGGCACATAACACAGACTGAGCAGCAGGAGACACAAACACCAAAAGGGCATAAGTAAGGCTGAAGTGAATTGGTTAAGAAATTCAAACCCATATTCTTGGGGAGTGCTTTGCATCATTCACCCAGCTCTGCTCCTGCATGGTAGCCATTGGCTGCACTGGGATGTGCTGTGAAGCAAGGACATTTTCCAAACAGAGCAATGCTGACCCTTTTTCAGAATGCACACGGGCTAACGGCTGCAGGCTGGGCTGGGAGTCTAATGAACTATTGTCATCCCATGAGCAAATAGAAAGTGTCTGGAAATAGCAGGCTGTATGCTGCTCCTTAGCGACCCCTTCTGGTAGAGGCACGTATGATGTAGGTAGGCTCTAGAAGCAATGGTCTTCACTCTCTGCTGCTAGAGGAAGATGTGGCATGTGGCGAGGAGACTGCATATAACGGGGGGGGGCGTCTCTCAGCGCTGATGACATCACATGGGCAGGGGAAAGCCTTGACTGACTGACACAAAATTATATTTTAAGGCAAACCATCCTCAAAGTACACATGCATCTCTTGTCAGCTCTGCCAGCCTGCTCCAACTAATCCCTCCACCATTCAGTACAGCTACCTATAAAGCCATGAATGCAGCTGGAGTGCATGCAGATAAATGCTGGAATTCACATCTGGAATGCAACACAAACAACAGCACAATCTCATATTTATTCTTCACGTCTACTTGTTACCACCCTTGCGGAGCCATTCGCAGTGGCGATGATCAGCTTCAGGCTTCAGGTTAAGGTTGTGTTGCAGGGGTGGTGCGTACATTAACTTTTCATGTGCCGGTTTTCAGAGGTTTAGCTTTAGCTGCCCGCTACATTCTAGAAGGTCATGAGGCAGCACTGGGCAACTGTAACTCTGTGCTACTAAAGTTTTGAGGCAGTTAATACAGGATAACGGCACATCTGTTTCCTTCAGCGCTTCCTAAAATTCCTTCAGAGTTTCCATCCAGGGATACAGGAAATAACAGAAGGCCCATGTTCAGGAGATGTAAAACAACTCCGCACCAGACAGCCGAGTAACACTTATGACGTAAGAAACAATCCTGCAATGAAGTGCCTAGAGGATCTAATATATCCTTTCCATCTCCGTTTCCCGGGATTTCTGATTAAAGTTCCTATTCTGGGATTGCAGAACAAGACACATGGACACATTGTATAAATTAGATATCGATACAGCTATAGATATAAAAAGCTTCCCATTTTCAGTTTTATTTAATCTTATATGAAGAAAAAGAAAAGAAAGAAAGAAAGAAAGAAAGAAATTTTAGTGCCCAGTAATGAGGCTGGAGGAGGTACTGGTGCTGCAGAAACAGCTTTGGAGAAGTCCCTGCCTGGGATCCAGAGGAAGGGCACCCTGAGACTGTTGATTGTAGTATTTGCATTTGCAAACATTTGCCCAGCAGATTGGGTGGACCCTTCCGCCTTCGGAGAGCCTTGTAGCTTAACAGAAATGAAACTTTTACTTTCAAGAAGATCATGTGATTTCCAGGAAAGGAAGTGCCATATTTGGGCAGGACCAGTAGAAACCACTTGCATCACCACAGCTATACTAGAAATATGCTCTGGTGAAGTTTCGTGTTGTTGTTTTATCAGTCCACTCTGATTGGCTACAGGCTGTGATCCCAGGGTCACTGTTGCCAATGAGCTGGGCTGACGACACGTTCCAGAAGAGTATAAAAGGGAGACTCCTTGCTGGAAATACTTTGATATTTCAACTATTCACAAAATCCCTGGTAACATCCTCTGGTAACAGCAAAGGTAACAGATCTTTTTTTTTTATAGGTTCTATTAATGGATCAGAGCTGGGGAGAAGTGGGAGGAGGGAATTGCAAATAAGAGATTTGGCAGCTTCTTGGGAAAAAGCAAGCAGAATTAATCACAATCCCATAAAGCTGCCTTCAGTAGCTTCTTTGGAAACAACGATGCAGTTTTGAATGGGTGCCAGGAGTTACAAACGTTGGTTGGATTTCTTGGTAATTGGTACACTGGGGTGTGAGTGTGCGCATTGGGGTGGGGGTGAGCACTGGGGGGGGTGTGCACACTGGGGGGGTGAGAGTGCGTGCACTGGTGTGCGTGTGTGTGTGCACTGGGGGGGTGCACTAGGGCAGAGGCTCTCAAACTGGGGGTTGGGACCCCTCTGGGGGTCGTGAGGTTATTACATGGGGGGTCACGAGCTGTCAGCCTCCACCCCAAACCCCGCTTTGCCTCCAGCATTTATAATGGTATTAAATATATTTTAAAGTGTTTTTAATTTATAAGGGGGGGGTCACACTCAGAGGCTTGCTATGTGAAAGGGGTCACCGAGAGATTTTTATGGCAGTGCTGCAAATTCACTTGCAGGATGGAAGCTAGAGAAATTCCTTTTTTACACTCTGATTCCCAGCTGTGCATGTACTGTAGCTTTGCAGATCCCTCTTTCTCCTCCTCCTCCTCCTCTCTATTTTCTTGTGGTTTGCAGAGGTGCTCTGAGGCATGTTCGCCTATATCTGCAAAGGCCTTTGAGATCCTCAGATGAAAGGCCTGCAGAAGTATATCTCAAAATGCTAAATATATTATAACGAGACGAGACTCATACCTCAGCCTGCAGCTGTGGCTTCCCCCTTCCTCCCTCTATGAATGTGACCATTACTCAGCTGATTTGCACCATGTTTGCAATTCAGAGAAGGGAGCCGGGAAGAAGGAATAATGCAGACTTCTTGTGTTTCAGCGCTTATATTTAAATACCTCTTATTTCCCGTCTGCGTAATGCCAGACAGCAGGCTAACTTTTACATTGGTTCCTCAGCATTTATAGTTGTTTACTTAGCACTTGCATTGCAATTTGCATTTGCAAAAGCACTTAACAATATTATCCCTTATGAATCTCTGCAGCACCCATGTGCAAGAGGTTGGGAAACTAAGGCATAGAAAGATGGGGGCGGGAGAGCTAAGGCATATGGAGGTATTGGTGGCTTGCCCACGATCATGCTGCAAATCAGTGGTTGAATCAGGATTAGAATTTAGCATCTCCTGACCCAAATACCTTTGGCTTCATTCTAAACCACCTCAGCTCTCTGTAAGGGGAATTTAATATTGCATGGATGAGACAGGCTGCCATGGGATCGGGTTGGCTCAAGAGCCAGACATTAGATGCTCCTGGGATATCTATGGCCTGGTCTACACTAGGACTTTAATTCGGATTTAGCTGCCTTAATCCGAATTAACCCTTCACCCGTCCACACTACAGAGCCAGTTAATTCGAATTAAAGGGCCCTTTAAATCGATTTCTGTACTCCACCTCGACGAACGGAGTAGAGCCTAAATCGATTTTGTTAATTCGAATTAGGGTTAGTGTGGACGCACACCACCGAATTACTGTGTTTAAGTTAATGGGGTAGTGTGGCCGCACACCACCGAATTAATGTGGTTTAAAACCGAATTAAGGTGCTTAGTGTGGCCGCGCACAATCGAATTTATACAACCTGTTTCCCAAATTCGAATTATCTAAATTCGGATTAATCCTGTAGTGTAGACATACCCGTCTCTACTGAAGATGGGTACCAGCGAGTAAAGGGGGAAGGGGGACTGATCTTGTGTAACATTGGAATACGGTGGAGAGTAAGGTGTTGCATGAATTGCAGGAGATTTTTCTTAAACTCAAGGAGGGCTGGGAGCTCAGCATGTCCCCTTCCCTCCCTCATGGTTTGTAGCCGGAAGCCAGAGAGGAGCATTATAAGAAACACCCCAGCAAGTCAGATGAAGTGTTGGTTCCTCAGCAGCAGTATTGTTCATTAGACTGTAAGCTCTTCGAGGGAGGGGCTGTGGGACTGCACCTGGGTTGCAGATACAGTACAAAGAGAAACGGCTCCATCTGCCAGCAAAGCCTGCCAGCTGCATGTGCCCCTCCCTTTCCCTGAGACTGGCGCCCCCTAGGGGTTCCTGCTGGGCAGCGGAGCTCCACACCATCCACACTGCCGTGGCTCTGGGCTCTTTGCCACAAGTCGCATTGCTCGAGTGGTTGTCGGCACACCCCGGAGAGGGCTCCGGTGCTAACACAGGAGTTGATTTGGGGTTACATCATGGTGGCGAATGTGAGTGACGCTCCCTGCTTCTCCCTCCAATTCATACAGGTCCTGCTTGGAGGTTTCCAATTCATCCACAAGAATTCCGTTTGGTAGCAAAGGAGTGAACTCCCCAATCCTTCCTTCCGCAATTAACCCGCAACTGGCTGCGTGATGGCTGCATCCGAGAGCGAGGGGTAAGTGGCTTTGGGGGAGCTGGCCGCGGGTGCGGTCAGTGCAGCATGGGCAACGTACACAAGCCAATGGCAGTAGTGCAACCTGCACTGTCTTGCTGTAACCATTGCCGGCAGGCCTGAGAGGACACCCCCCCGGGTAGGTGGATCACACAGCAACAACTTTTTTCCTGATCTCATGCTGGCAGCAAAGGCAGCCATGCCTGGCTAATGTCTGCCAAGGAACTGCTGGAGACTGGCCCTCAGGGCTGTAACAGCCACTGTCATTCATCTAAGCAGCTGTCAACTGTGGCACATGGATGCCCGAGGACTAGTTGCTCTGCTAAAGGGAAGGAGCAGTTTATGGCCTTGTCTCCACTACAAGCATAAATTGATGCTGAGCGTGGCTGTCAGCAACTGGTTACCTCAGCCCGGGCTGAGGGCTGCTAAGCCACAAGCATAGGAAATGACAAACCATGTCAAGCCCCATTTCCTCAAACTGTCTAAGTTCATTTGGGTGGAATGGTGCTAATGCCGGTGGGTCAGATACTCAACTGGTATCAAGCCAACGGAGCGATGCTGACCGACAGCAGCTGGTGAGCTGGCGAGGGCTTTCCTGGTCTCTGCTTGCAACTTAACTGTGCTCACAAAGGTTTAAATGTCGCAGTGCACAAGACCAGGCCTAAGAGTCCACAGGATGATGGTGGATGCCAAATTGGACATGAGACTGCCGATCAAAAGTACTGTCATGATTATGGGTTTGCTGAAGTGCTCTGGGTGTGAAATATGACCACTTCTTTCTGCTGCAGGAAACGGGAATGGGAACACCTCAGTGAAGTATTTTAAGTTAAGGGGTGCCTACCCTTTCTTTATCATTTGTATTCCCTTAGTGCCCACGGCCCAGAGCCAAAAAAATAGCTAGGCTTCTAACTCTTATTGAAGTCAACAGGAGCTAGGTGCCTAAATACCATTGAGGATCTGAGCCTAGAGGGCCCAAGTGAAATGGGAACTCAGTGATGCTAGGTGCTTTACCAGGGCTCACCACACTGGCGCCTCCTGCTGGTCATCTTGGGGATTAGCTCTGCAGGTCAGTACGCCTACTCCCAGTGGTGCCTCACTCAGTGTCCCTTCTGCTCCCGGACTCTCATCACTCCAAGGACCGCGGTGTTCTCATCACAACCCAGCCCTCTGGACATGTCATGATCTGCGCTCCCCCCTTCCAGGGGTGAGTGCTGCAGTCTAACTGTCCCACCACTTCCCCAGTGGCGACTACAGTCAATTGTCCGGCCACTTCCCCATGGCCCCAGCACCCTCTTTGCCCTTGCCTCAGGGCTTCAGCCTGCAAATCCCAGCAGCCAGCCAGCAGCTCTTCTCTGGTCCCTGCACTGCTCAGTCCAGGGTGCAGGCTTCCTTCTGCCTGCCAGATACCCTGTCCTCCCTTCTTAAGCTCTAGGGAGTAACTGACCCTCCTGTGCCCTGCAGCTCTTCTTATATGGGCCTGCTGGGCCTTGATTGGCTGTTCCTCACAGCCTCTCTCCTATTGGCTGCTTCCTGAGCAGCCTCTCCTGGGCCCTATTAATCCCTTGCATGCCAGTGTGGATAGACGCCTAATCACAGTGCTGTAGAAACACATCAATTCATAGATTCCAAGACCAGAAGAGAGAACTGTGATCATCTGGTCTGCCCATGTACCACATAACAAAGGCCATGTGACTTCCCCACAATAATTCCTGTTCGAATATGGAAAGAGATGGGCTCAATAGACCAGGTAGACAAAAAGTGCGGGGAGGGAAAGGAACCATTGTCATCCCCATTTTACAGATGGGGAAACTGAGGCCCAGGGAGATCGAGAGATTTGCCCCAAGTCACACAAGGAGTTTGCAACAGTGAGGCACCTAATTTTCATATTAATTAGTTATTATTGACTAACAATCCATTTATAGCATTTCTGTTAACGTGTTTCTCCAGAATAACTGCACACAGCTGTCTTGCGTGTGCGTTTTTATCTCTTCTGATAGATGCCTAGCAACTGTTGCTTGTTCGTTTGCGCTCACCAGCAACAGAAACCTGCAGCTGATCAACTCTGTCCTCCCCATGCATTCCCAGGGAGAAGGCAGCATTTCCTTGGGCTGCATTTTCTCCTTCAGCAGCACACACTGTTCAGCCTTAGCTGGAACAGCAGAGCTCTTCCCTGGCGGCCCTGGTATTACTCGATTGTTGTTTGCAGGGGTGGATCTTTGATCTGCCATTGACCAATAGGCCTGGCATAACCTCTGTCTCTGTCATTACAGGGGTTCTCAAAAATTACGGTTTGGCTGGTGGCTGATTAAGCAGATCAACAGCGAAAACTACGAGGGGCTCCGCTGGGTAGACAAGGACCACACTCAGTTTCGCATCCCCTGGAAACACACTTCCAGGAAGGATATCAACCCTAACGATTACAAGATTTTCAAGGTAGGATCCCAAATGATTCTCTTTTTCCCATCCCCACTAACCCCCCTCTCTCCTGCAGAAGCAAATCCCAGTCCAGGGTGTAACTTTGGATTTACACTAGGGTAACTAATTAAGAGGAACTGACAAAACGATCAGTGGTGATGCCCTAATGTTGCTCTGTGACATTTGCCTTACAATGGTGTGTCACTGCGTGATGACCTTGCATTGTAAGGATTCAGCATTGTCACAGTGTGGCACCAGGCAGTAGTTGGCTAGTGCTCTTTCATTCGATGGAGTATCCATCCACCAGGGTATCAGAGCACAGAAGGGTTCCTTGGCAGAATGCACACCAGGCCTCAGAATAATGACCAGCTTCAATTCCCATGGCTGTGGGAGGATCCCGATGACCCTGGTGGGGTTTGTAATATGTTCCCTTGCAGTACATCATCCAGTCACTTGCTAGCCCCATGTGCTGAATATATCCCTAAGTAGGGGGTGGTTCCTGGTAAACAGAAGGCAAAGCTGGAACTCAACCAGTGTGGAAGCTTGTTTCTGTCTGTCGTTTCAGTTATTTTCTTTAATAAATACCTCCTGTTTAAAAGACTGTTTCTATACATCATAATAAGGGCTTCTGCCCCTTCTGGAATGTCCTGGACTGTCCACATTTTAATGGGATCTTCCCTGCAGACTGCAGCTAACAGGCAACTGAAAGGTTCCCAGATAACATTGTCCTCTCATAATGCTCAGAATTTATGTCGAGATGTGACATGAAATGTCTCAGCTCAAGCTGATTAGAAATTTTCAGGTGGAACATTTTTCTGTTCCATTGTCAAAATGGAAACATTTTGCTGGAATGTGTCAACTTCAATGAAATTTTGATGGAAATCAGGAAGATTCCTAATCACACCCTGCCTGCCAGGCGGAGTTCAATAGAGCCCCAGCTTCCAGGCTCCCCAACCTGCCTTGCTCCCTGCCTGGTGGGCGGCTGGGATTCTGAGCAGCTCAGGGAGCTGGGGAAAGGTTGCCAAAAGTTGGAACGACGTTTTGGAATGTCACTTTTCTGAAACAAAATTTCAAAATTCTCCTTCCCTGGGAAATTTCAAACTTGCATTTTTCGTTCCGTTCCAGAATAATTTTTTCCCCCTGAAATTTCAGAATTTCCTGCAGAATGGGAATTTCAGTTTCAGCCGGCACTAGGCACAGCTAAGAGTAGGATTACCCTCCGAAAGACTGATCTGGCAATAGCTCTCAAAAATCCTGAAGCTGGGCTGTCTGACCACACTGAGAATTACAATAGTTGCGGTGTCACGGTTGGTAAAGGCCAAAATAATCTCCCACTTGATTCTGCTTAACTTCTGTTTGTGATCTTTCCCTTGGCAGCCAATTAACGGGCATGTGCCTTGGAAAACAAAAATTGTCACCCAGGAGACAGATCTCGCTTTCAGACTTCAGGCTTGTGACAAAGGATTGGACAGAGCTGCATTAACAGATCGTAGGCAATTCAGGGCAGGGCCGGTCTATCACTCTATATTGGTATAGTGCATAGCACAATCGGGCCTCAGACACTACCATTGTACAATAAATAATAATATGGACCAGTTGGGCAGTAGCCTATTGTAATGAATGAGCCCAGAACAACAGTCATTGAGGGGGTACCTTATAAGAAAAAAGGAGGGGGGAAATGGGATCCACTGATGATTTTTCCTAGTATTTCTCCTTTCCTTTCCATTTAACTCAATGCTGCATTGTACAATGCATGTCTGTATTTGGACCCAATGTCCAACATGCTCAGATGCTGTGATGATGGGAGACTGTATATGCACCTAGGCAGAGCACATGTCTGAAATCTTGCCAAAATCAGCACCAGAAACCTCGGCATCCTAGGAGGAGGTTGGGTCAAGTTCTAAACCCTTGGGTGGTGGGGGTTGCGGGTTGTGTTTTAGTCCTGGACCACAGTAACGAAAAGGGAAGGGGTTACTCCACCACTGTGGTCTGAGTGGAGGTTGGGGAGGGAAAGGAGGCTTACGGCAAAGCGCTTGATGGGCTCCTTTAAAAAAACGACTGTGCTAATGGAAAGCTTGGAAGGAATTGTACAGAGATCTTCATGCCTTGCTTCCCGTGGGGCTAAGATCAAAATGGCTTTCTGCTTGACTGCACTGACAGACTGCTCCTTCTCTAATGCCTTCCGACCTGTCTTCTCTCCCTCAATCCCTCTCTTTATGGAAAGGCCTGGGCCATAACCAGCGGAAAGTACAACGAAAAGCTGAAAGATCTAGCCAAGTGGAAAACGAACTTCCGCTGTGCCCTGAGAAGCACAAACATGTTCCTGATGGTGCAGGATAACTCAAAGACCTCTGAGGACCCTCACAAAGTGTATCAAATCAACAGCCCAAGCCCCGATGCTGTGGCAGCTGCTAATGCCCCGACTACTAAAAGTAAGGATGCTGGCAATACAGGTGCAGACAGACATGGTTCTGATTTGTGCCGTGAGCTCTATTCTTTTACTCTCTGCCTGGCACTAGTCCAGCTCCAGTCTGAATAGAATCACAGAATATCAGGGTTGGAAGGACCTCAGGAGGTCATCTAGTCCAACCCCCTGTTCAAAGCAGGACCAATCCTCAGACAGATTTTTACCCCAGTTCCCTAAATGGCCCCCTCAAGGAGTGAACTCACAACTCTGGGTTTAGCAGGCCAGTGTGCAAACCACTGAGCTATCCCTCCCCCCGACTCCAGTGTCATGTGGGAAAAGATAGGATTTTAGGCAACTGCCTTTAAAAAAGACCATGGGGGGCAATATTTCAAAAATATTCATCCCCCAGCAGCTCCTAGTGTTCTCAGTCAATGGGAGCTGCTGAATACTCTTGAAAATCAGGGCCTGTGGCCTGAACTGTGGGTGACATGGTTCGAGTGAGATCATGGTGTTAGTGCTGCTCCCTGCTGGTAGGGCAAAAGTGCTAACACTACCGGATGTTTTCCAAGGGAAATCTCACTACCCTTCTCCTGCAGATTTCTGCTTTGAGCAAACTCTGACCTAGTTACACATGCACTACCCTGTAAAGTCAATGGGGCTGTGAAGGCTATGGTGACGCAGGTATAACTGAGGGCAGTTTTCAAGGCTTTCAAACAAAGTGTCCAAAAGATCACAAAGAACCAGATAAACTGGTGGCATTAAGGGCAACATTTTCAGGAGTGCCCATGAATTTTTTGGGTGCACAACTTGAGACACTGCAAAGGGACCTGACGTTAAGAAAGGGGTCTGCATCTGCCCTCCGAAAACTAGACCTCTTCAAAGTGTCTCAAGTTGGGCACCCAAATTCACCAGTCCCTTTTGAGAAGTTAGGCCCTTGGTGTCTCCAGTTGGGCTCCTAAAACTTGAGGGAACCCAAATTAGTGAAGAGTTTTCAAAATATGGGCCCTAAGCCCTGAGCAAATCCCACTTCTTGGAACTATGGATCATGCTTAACTTCCCGTGTCAGAAATTCCATTTGCTAAACCACTGCTTTTTTCCTCCCCGTCCCTGTGTAATTTGCTGTTGTCTTTTAGACAATAACCTGCGTTCCAGTAAAGAAGACATCAGCCCCCATTCTGAAGAAGCCCCTAATCTGCACCACCATATGCCACAGCAACTGCAGGTACCAGAACTGCGGATGGGAGAAGCTGGGGAAGTGCTAAGCTTGAAGGAGCCCTGGAATCATCAGAACCTGATAACATTTCACTAAACTTATGTGGCTCATGGGAAATTAACATGGATAAACTCCCCCCACCACCACCCCCACCCCCAATGCTGTAGAGTTCTGACTCAATCAGCGTCACTGCTAGAGCCCTCCATGTGACTGTGTCTCTAGACCAGGGGTAGGCAACCTGCGGCATGCGAGCTGATTTTCAGTGGCACTCACACTGGCCACCGGTCCGGGGGGCTCTGCATTTTAATTTAATTTTAAATGAAGCCTCTTAAACATTTTAAAAACCTTATTTACTTTACATACAATAGTTTAGTTATATAATATAGACTTATAGAAAGAGACCTTCTAAAAAGGTTAAAATGTATTACTGGCACGCGAAACCTTAAATGAGAGTGAATAAATGAAGACTCGGCACACCACTTCTGAAAGGTTGCTGACCCCTGCTCTAGACAATGTCCCTGGGAGTTGCTTGTACACTGAAGGGACAGAATCTGGCCCCAGGAAAACAGCTGGGCAAATGATCATGCATCTCTTTTTTCCAAGAGGTCATGTTTGCAACACCAAATCAAAATACACAGAAGATGATCCAGCTCAGTCTTCTCACTGTGTGAAAAAAGTTTTCCACAATGGAATGAAAGTTTTTGGCTGGGGGAAAACAGCTTTCGTCTGCTACTAATGTAACCTTTTCATGCACACAGTGGATTGAGGTGAGGAGGGAACAAAGTTTACCTGTTCTGATTTTGGCATGAAAATGTCCAAACATTCAGGACACCCTCTCTCCCCTCCAGCTCTTCCAGGAACCTTCTGTCTCTCAGAGGCCTTGTCTACAGGAAAAGTCTAAAATTTAACTAAGGGTGTGATTCAAAATCAGTTAAGCTAAACCAGAGCAAATCCTTGTGCGGACACTTCTGGTTTGGTTTAAACCAGTCTTGGTTTGGTTTAGCTTACGTCCGTTGGGAATCAGTTTAAAGCTAAACTAGAATAAGCTACTCTTAAACTGCAATGAGTTCCACCCGGTTGTTTGTAGCAGTTTAGCTGAAATCAGTTTTAAGTTAACCTGGTGCGGCTTTCTCATGTAGGCCTAAGACCTTGGGAAGATTCTATTGGCTGCTGTGGAACTACTCTAATTCACACCAGCTGAGAATCTGGCCCCTGGGTCACACTGGGGGAATTGTCTCCATTCCAGCCACCAGTGGCCATATGCCAGCATAGCTGCAAACCCTCATGTCCATAACGAAAGCCACCATTTGCATCAGGGGTGCTTATCCCTGGGTCAAGCAGGCTCCCAGTTTCTCAGCCCCTCCCTCTCGGATGCCTCTTCAAGTCAAGAACGCAAAGCGTATTTGGCTTGCGTGCATCGGAATAGCCATTCTCTTTGGCTCAGACTGGGCTTAGCTGGGACTCGCATGTTTCTGCTGGGCCACTGGGAAGCAGCAAGTCTAGCAATAGAGCGAGGCCTGAATCCACGTCACTGGTCAAAGGCTCTCTGTGAATGGGTGCCTAGAAATGCCCAGCTAACTGTAGGGATGTTGCTTCACTGATGCACTTTGTCTCTCACATGTCTCTGTGGTGAATCCAATAAAACAAAAGGAAAATGGCCTCGTGTGCTTTGTTTTGCAGCCGCAGATAGAATTAGATTTGGAGATGTTGTCGCTGGAAAACCCTCCCCAAGGTACGTTACTTGCTGATTTCTTTTTAAATGTAAATGTAAATGATTGAATTCCAGAAGATAAAACCCAGAATAGAAACCGTGGTGCTGCATGTGGCCCTGTGCTCCTCCATTGTTTGTTCATGGAATTGGATCTCTTTACTGAAGGCCTGCTGGCTTGGGCACTGGACTGAGAGTTGGGAGCCCGGGGGACTCTTCCCTGCTCTGCCACTGACTCATTCAGCACCTTGGTTGAGTCTATCAGCATTTCCACATGCCCTGGGGTAGGAAGCAGGATGAACTAGCCAGAAATTATCCTGCGGCATACAGACTTTGATTCAAAGCCTTTGCCTCCTAGTGCAATAGCCCTGAGGCTTTTCCAGCTTGTCTGGAATTCTGGTGGAAGGTCTGTGTTGCATTTAATTCGAAACAAATAGATCAGGAGTGAGTAAATGTAATACATGCTTGGGAACCCTAGAGGGAGCTTAGGGAAGGAGTCAGGAGAGAATAACAATAGGGCGGCGCTGATAAACCTTCGCTCGAATAAGCAGTCGAGTTTAATCCTTGTTCACTTGAGTTCAGATTCAGTGCCCAGCAGTTGGACTGTGGCCTGATTGCCTTTAAAACCAGCCTATTCAAGATCAATTTCCAACCCAGCAATCAATCAGAGACACTACCCCATAGTCGGTGGGTCAGTGGCAACAAGTCTGCCAAAGAACCCCTGCGTGATGCCATCAGGGGCAACAACCCCAGGCAGGTTCAACCATGGTGCTAAGGTCAGGGGGGAGACAGACTTGGCCAACAGTGTCACACCCCCAACAGCTCCCTTTGGCCATGCATGGTGAGATCCTAGCCACACCCCATGGGCAGGAGCAGGGCTATTGCAGGCTTCCACCATGCAAAGTGAACTGCTGAGGAAAACCAGTTTCTAGTGGGGCAGGTGGAGAGGTGCGTGGGGAAAAACTTGTGACACGCATAGAGAAGTGCGTATGATTGAGACCATCCTCTGCTCTTGTTGCCCCACAGAGATGGATAGCGTGCAGAACGAAAGGCCAGTCTACGACCCTGGCAGGAATCCTCCCCAGGACTACACCATCAATAATTCGGCCCCAAATGGCTACCAGTGCAGCCCCGACACACTCCACTGGATTCTGCAACAGTGCAACTTAACCCAGAATGGCTGCAGCCCACAGCAGCTGCCGTGGGCTCTGGATGGAGGTTTAGATCACGGTTCAGGTAGGCTGAGGCCCCAAAGAGTAGAGCTGTACCCAGAGGCGCCTACGTTTCATAATATAGCTGGCGCTCGCTGGACTTCCCATACTGCGCCTGTGTTAGAAGCGTTGTTAGAAGCGTTGGGTGGGGAGTGTCGGGACAGTCCTGTTGTATTCCAGGGATGAGGGAATCCTGCCCTTCTTTCTGATGTGCTGGTCGAGAGCTGTGGTTCTTCACCGTCCCATGCCAGCAGAGCCTCCTCCCACAGTGCGGACAGTCCCAGACAGGAAGCCGATGGGCTGCAGGGAAGTGGTCTGGGAGGTATCCCTCTAAACAGCTGCTCCAGCCCATGTACTCGGCTCAGAAACTAAGTGGCAGGTTATTGTACGGCATCCAAGCAACAGCAATGGAGAGGACCTAAAGCAGGGGTGCCCACCCCGTGGCCCTCAAGGCTCTTAATTGTGCCCTCCTCCCCAGGGGCAACTGTGTAGAAGTAAATGCATACTTGGTCCTCGCTGAACGCGTGTCCCTGAGCGGTACCGTGTGACTTTGCAATGCGGTGTTTGTATCAGCCCGGTTGCTGCAGCGAGGTGGGGGGAGCGCCGCTGCCCAGCCAACGCCCACTGTATCTCCCTAAGCAGCTTTGGTGTGAGCCGGAAGCACAGGGAGCGGCTACTCTCCCTTTCCCCTTGCAGCTGCTCAGCAGCACCCTTGCTGGCTGCCTGCTGCATTACAGGCAAGAGAGGTTGCTCTCTTCCCCGTGGGGCTATGGGAGCTGTAGGGAAAGCAGGACAAGAGTTTGACTAGCACGGTGTGGGTCCTGGGGGAGAGCCTGGCAAAGGACTTACTCCCCTTCCCCATACAGACATCCAGGGCAGCCCAGGAGAAAGGAAAGCCAAGAGCCATTCTGATTCTCTGCCCCATAGGCTAGAGCTCCAGCTGTGACCCCCTCCTCCTGCATGCCCGCTGCTGGGAGGACATCTAGGAGCCAGCTGTGCTGACTCTGGCTCCTGCTGGGGACTCCCCCACATAAGGGAACAGTGTTGTCCATTCTCAGGATTTTAAGCATTGAGTCCTGGGCTATTTGATATCTTGTTGTAAAGCCCCAGCTCCTGGAGTCATGGGATGACACAAAATTCCCATCTTTCATTTAAAAAATGAGAAATAAGTTTCTAGCCCTCATGGTTGCAGAGAACAGCTTGAAACCATGAACTTCAGAGGCAAATAAAAAGAGCCCCAAATTGGGGGCTGGGGGATGGTTATTTTCGGGGACTTGTGTGATGATTTGAGAGCAAGATGGGTTACTGACACCATGGGAGTCCTGCTGGGTAAGTTCCATGCCTGCCTCAGCAGTGGAAAGCGAGCCAAATTTTTGATTGGGACCCTCCCACCCTGCCCTTTCTGAGACATCTGACCTTCAGGCTGGGAAGCTCTGGCACCACATCTCAAACAAACGGCAAGGGTCATTCACCCTGCCCACCCCAAGACCAGACCTGTGCTAGCAGTGGGCAGCAAGGGCCCTGCATTGAGCCACTCACCCACATCGGGTGTGTTACAGCTGGGTGGATCAACCTCTGAGGTCAGGGTCAGTCAATAGCAATGAAATCTATCTCCTCTCCCTGTTTGGATTCCCAAAAGTGAGGTTCCAGGTAGGGTTGGGAAGCATGGGGAAAGCATTGCGATGGCAAAGCTTTATCCAATAGGAAGATCTTGCAGCATTTCCAAAAAGTGAGAGAGCACGCTCAGCAGCTACTGAATTGTCTAATGCAATTGCTAGCATGCTGCAGTGCCTTACCCAACTCTGGTCATTAACACTGCGCTTCTTTCCCCCAGGCTATCCAAACCAACATATTGGCCAAAATAGCTACCCACAGCAGGGGAGCGGCGTGGCAAATGGACCAGTGGAGAACTATCACCAATCAGTTGGCCAGTGGGTGACCCAAACTATGGCAGAGACCCAAACCATGCAAAATGCTTATGGCCCTTCTGCTGCCTCACTTCTACAGCAGCCCCTCCCATCCAGCACAGTTCCTGCCACGAGTCAGCTTCTTAATAACGCAGGTCAGTATATCCCCATTATCTGAGAGCTGGCTGGTTTAAGCAGGCACTGGTCGGGTCATTGAGCCCCACAATGGAAGGATATGCTCCCCCAAGAGCAAATGAATCAGATACGTAACTAGGCTCGGGAGGGTTAGATTTTTATCCGTAAATGTCGGTAGACGTCGATTTCACTCTACACACACAAACCGAGGAATAAATATTCCATCAATAAAAACTGAAATATGCAGATAAGCAGCATTTTTCTTACTCTGCCTAACAATTTACTAGCGTTTGGTTTAAGGCTATGGGCTGTGTACATTTTGACCGGTGATGTCAACGATTTGTGTTCTAACAGTTAGAAAGCTTTAGCTTTTTGAAATCAAAGTCGGTCATAAAAGAATTAGTGCCTGGCCTGCCCTGCTGTCTGACCCCCTCCCTTCATTTCCTACAACTGTGAACATTTAAATTGAAAAAAATGCTTAAAAATAAACCATCGCCATTATGCATCAGTTATCAGAAATAAACACCGAGCTCTGCCAAGCCTACTTAGAGCCGATACCGCACGTGAAGCCAGTTTGCCAGAAAAGCTCAGCTCCCGTTCAGCACCTAATGAAGCTCTTTGCTAGATGTAAAACTTCCCCCGTTCCCTTGTAATTATTCATACTGCACCAGCAGGCCGTGAGGTGCTTTAGGGAGATAAAGTCTCTGTTCCAAAGAGCTTCCAGTCTACGGAATGTGGAGGATGGAAGGCAGCAAAAGCAAAACAGCCGAGCAGTGACGCAGTGCACGTGTCTGGGCAGTGCTGCCGTTTGTGCAGAATTGTGATGTTGTTTCCTTCTCTTTAAAAATTTATTTATTTATTTAATTTGGACAGACAGTTTAGGGCTCAAAGCAGGGGGTTTTCAGGAGGGACTTTAGAAGAGAGTGGAAAATGATTGACTTGAGGACTGATCCAACACCCACTAAAGTCAGTGGAAGGACTCCTAGGCCTACTGGAAGACTCCCGTTGGTATCAGTGGGCATTGGATCAGGTCTGTCGGCAATGGCGGGTTCCAGGCATGGGGCACAGCACAGTTGCGTGGGATGAATACAAGGACCAGTTAGTCACACGGAGCAGAGTGGGTGAGAAGAGCAGAGCTAAGCAGAAACTAACGTGTTCATTACTCTCTAGCAGTCTCACAAGCCTGTTGTTCTCCATCCTAGCGGAAGCCCTGTTTGAGGGGAGACCTTACCTCAATAACCATGCGGGTGTTCAAAGCACTTTCCTGAGTGAAGCGCCTGCAGGAAACGCAGTGATCTATCCAACACTGAATGGCCCGGAAGAGAACAGTTATCACCAGCTGGCAAATCAGTGGGCAGCCCCAGCAGTGGTGGAGCAGAATGGGTTCACCCAGCCTGCTGCCCCTCTCCCAGAGCAGCATCCTCCTCCCCACACAGCGCCATCGCGGAACAATACAGGTCAGTGACACCACCCCAGCTGCCTGCCCCAGGGAAGGAGACCTGCCCCAAGCACAGAGTCCATCAGTCACCCACCCCTGCCTCTTACCTCTGAAGGTGAACAAGAACTGGGCCAGACTAGTCAACACTTTAGGAAAACGCAGCTATTGGAACCAAATGGCACCGGCCTTTCCCACCCCACCCCTAGATTAGAGGGCCCTCTTCACTTCTCTTGCAGGTTTAGACATCTCAGCTTCAGGTTTGAAATAGACACCCCGCCCCACCCCCGTCCACATCTCAGCGGCCTCGTCTCCCCTTGCGGAGGCAGATCCAGGAAAATCCATGGGGTTCACAGACATGGCACTCGCGTGGAAAGCGGGGACCAACTGCAGGGATGAACGGGTACCATAACACTCAGGCAATGCTCTGCTGAGACTCCCAACAAGGGTGCCAGTGGAGACCAGGCGTGGGGACGATGGGCTCAGCATGTCAGGGGCTAATCCAGCACCCACTGAGGTCAGTGGAAGTGTCTTCACTGACTTCAGTGAGCATTACATTGGGCCCTTGGCAAGCAGCCTGTTAGGAACCAGAGAGCACCTGTTCCGGGCAGGCCCTCCTATATAGTCCAAGCATTCCCTCGTCTCTTGCAGAAACCATTCCTCCCAATATGGACGTCACCATCTATTACCGAGGGAAGCCACTCCACGAGGTGCAGGTGGCCACCAGCAGCTTCCTGTTCACGTACAATACCGAAGACCCCACCGTTGTCCCGGGCTGTGCGCAGGTGGTCCAATTCCCAAGCCCAGATGAGCTGCCTGACCAGAAGCAGGTTCAGTTCACCAGGCAGCTGCTCCTGAACACAGGGCTGCTGCTGGAGCAGAAGCACAAGAAGATCTATGCCAAGCGCCTGAATAAATGCAAGGTCTTCTGGGCCCTCTCCAGGCAACTGGTGAACATGGCTCAGAACCCTGAGCCCAAGCTGCTGCCACGTGGCACAGAGACGGAGATCTTCGACTATGAGGTGTTCTCAAAGGGTGAGTCTGCGGCCAGGTAGTTCTTACTCTGTGGGGCCAGATTTATGGGTAGTAGTTAGATTAGCCGAGATAAACTCCAAGGGACTTTATTTACCATATGTTTGCACCATGGGGCTCCAATATGGTTGAGGCGCATAGGCTGATCATGGACTGGAGCCCAACCTGCATAAGCACTGGACTCCAGGTTTTGCCTGGGCACTTCGGAGAGCACAGAGAATGGCCAGGAGTAAGGGTGAGGGAACCCCAGAATCTCCTAATCAGAAAGCTCCTCTCATGGCCACCATCTCCTGACCATCCCAGGGCAGTTTATTTAATCCAGCCAACCGAATGCCTTCCTTGTCCTTGCGCTACTAAAACCATCCTGGTTCTTTTTGCAGAGCTGAAGGATTTTAAGGAACATCAAAGGGCTACATCTCCCGACTTCACTATCTACCTTTGCTTTGGGCAGTGCTTCTCCAAATCCAAGCCCAAGGAGACCATGTTAATCCTGGTGAAGGTGAGCCACGAAGCATCCTTCTCCCTTAGCTATGGAGGGAAGCGCTGGCTAAATGCCAAGCATCATTAGTCTCTGGTGGGATGGTTCAGTGGTTAGTGCTCGTTCACTGACGGCCAGCTCCATTGACTTCAGTGTTAACGCACAGCCGCTAAGAGGCTGCGCCCCTCTTCTGCATGGAAAGGTCCATGTAGCTGGTGAATAGCTAGTGCTTGAGTGGAGATCCCTGGATAACCAGCGGGCAGAGATTTACCCCCACCCACTTAACTTCATAGCCACACCGCAAGACGTGGGGAATCCTCCTCTGCCTCTAAAGCTTTACAGTCCTGGGAGGGTAACGAAGCATCCCTTTCTAGCTTAATTATTAGTCCTCTTTGACTACCCAAATTCCCCTCCCATGAGCCCTGCCAATGCACGCACCAGTCCTGGCTCACCGCTGTTCGAGAGGCATGGGAACGCCTACCGTTCAGCACTCTGACACCACCACGGTGGGTACCAAGATAAGAACCTAGACTGATCCGATGGGGCTGCAGCATAGGCATAAGGGCCTTCTAGGGAAGAGCCCCAGTGCAGGAACCCCTTCGGTCCAGGCACAGAGCCAGCCCGATGCTGCTTTCACAGCAGCCCCCAATGCAGAGCGTAAGCAAAAGGAAGGACGAGGTGGATCAGGCACGGAAAGGCTGTGGCCAAGGCCGACCTGCACCCTGGCTATTCTGCATGCCTGCAAAGCCCACAGCAGACTGTTGCAGCCAGCACAAGGCTGCATCTGGGGTTGCCAGACATGGGTGAGAGATGCGCTTGCCCCACTCTTGCACCCCATGCCCTCACTTCCTTGTCTCTGGGCATTGCTGACAGAGCACGTCTCCCCCAGCAGTCACCCTCGGGGGCAGGGGACCAGACGGAGGCTCTGACGGGCCCATTCACGTGGCTCCTTCAGAAGAGGCAAAGCGTAGCAATGTGGCAGGGCAGGTGAACGCCTCCTGAGGGGTGTTCGTTTCTCTCTTGCAGCTGGTGCCTAAGTTCTGTGAGTATTTCCACGACATGGTGCTGCGGGAGGGAGCCTCGTCCCTGAACAGCGGGAACGTGAGCCTCCAGCTGTCCAGCTGCTTCAACAGCTTGTATGACCTCATTGAGCAGTTCAACATGCAGATTGACTGAACCTTCTCCCCTCCCTAGGACCCGATCTGCATGTGCATTGGCCAGTCCTTGCCTAGGTCTCTGCCTGACTGGCCTGCCTTTGAAAACACTTTTGCCTTTCCCTCACCCACTTGCATTACTTTGCTCCCATTAGAAAACATGTGGGTGAGATGATGGGTGGCCTTGTGGCTTAGCCACATCACTGGGACTCAGTAAAGCTGGGTTCAATCCCTGCTGTGCAACTGGCCTTCTTAGTGACCTTGGCAAGTCACTGCATCTGGGCCTCACTTTCCCCATCTGTAAAATGGGAATAATTCCTTACCTCACAGGGTTGTTGTGAGGAGAAATGCATGTGAAGTGCTCAGATATTATGGCAATAGACAGCTCAGCCTTCTCCACTCTGGGCCACCAATTGAAAATAGAGATTTTTTTTTCCCCAGCTGAAACAAACAGAGTACCAGACACTGTGCTCTGAAGGTAGAAGCAAGAGAATCTTCCTCTCTGTTTCAGGATGTCAGCAAGAAAGTCAGGGTGGGGGAGGGGGGGAGAGGAGGCAGGGAGGGGAATACTCTTCTACAGCACTGCCATGTAATGATCTTGTGCCTCTGCCTGGGCTGAGCTGGCTGGATTTTAAGTTGGGTGAGGTTTTTTTTTTTTTTTTTTTTTTTTTAAGAAATGGGGATGTTGACGGGGGCAGGGGGAATCCTTATCACCACCTGTTGCTGAAGTGAGCGAAGCAGGAACCTTTGGGGTGGATTGTACAATAGCCCTGGCCAGCTCTCCTGGGATCACAGGGTTGGTACAAGGTGAGCTAATCCGTCGGACAGAGGCTAAGGCCCAGCTCCTAACGTCCATTGATTTGAATGGAAGTTCAGAGCCTAAATACTTGGGGAGCTGGGCTTTAATCAGTTGATCAACCATTATGGAAAAATCTCCACCCAGGGCTAGGAACAGGGGAGGGGCCCCTATGGAAGACACAGACTCCACGTTCTCCCCAGGCTCTGTCCCTTTCAAGTGCTTGCCTGTCAGAGGTCTGTGAAATGGAAGCACCCATGGTCACGTCGATCTGCAAGTGACTGCAGCTGTGTGCAAGGAGCGTACAGAAGGCTGAAGTAAGCAAGCTCTAGGAGGGCTGCTTTAAACAGCTGGCCCATGCCCCATGCCCTCCCCTTACCACAATGCGAGGAGAGGGGAAAGAAGGAGAATGAGTAACACCCTGAACAGTGTAGGAGAGGGGAGGCCCGGAAGCCACGACAGAGGCTGGTCCTGCTCCCAATGGAATTTTGCCATTGGCTTTCCTGGGAGCAGGATCAGTCCTATTCCAAAGTAGCTTGTGCCCCCAAATGTGGCTGGCTAATAAATTAAAGTTTATAGCTCAACCCTGTATTCTAACCTCTCCACACTCTGCCTGAGGTCAGGCTGCAGGCCCAGCTGCGCTCAGGCCTTGTGCATGTTGTATGAGCCCATGTGCCCTACAACTCCTTGTCATCCTTGAGCAGGGAGCTGCATCTGCCCAAACCAAGTCACACCGACAACACCCCACGTCATTCTTTGCCAGCTTCTTGCCCCATAAAGCACATTCACACAAGAGAAATGCGCTCCATGTTCATGTAGGGTAGTCCACCATACCGCCTCCCTACCCCTTTTTCTGTCCCGCTTCCCTCGGACACCACAGCACGCACGTGCTGGCTTGCAGTCATCTGATGAGCACACAGCATATATAGGCACAGATCCATAAAGCTGGCACTTTCCTAACCATACATGCTCAGGGTAACCAGTTGTTTTAATGGGCATAGGCCAGCAATTCTTAAACTATGGTTCACTGGCTGACTACACCATGCTCCTTATTTCCTGCTCTCTCGCTCTTCTTTCTCGTTATTTATTTAGTACATTTTCGGAATGCTTGTCAAGGGCACCCAGAGTGTAGGCTGGGTGCTTTTTTATTCTTTTTAACTGCAGCGTAGCCAAAATCTCAATTCATTAATTGCCTTTCAAACAGCTGCACAGACACTAAGTAGCGCCGGTGCTTTCCCCATGTTAACAATTGCGCTAGTTGCCACCATGATGTTGTGCAATCAGCGCAACGAAGCTTGTGGCAGTGGGATGGGTCATAAGACATTAGGTCATGACCAACACTGGATCAGTATGGGAAGGCCTACTGCTGTAGGCTACTGTTACGCAAGCAGTTTGGACTCTGACAGGAGACCTGTATGAAACTGACATCACACACTGGGCATTATTTTTTCCTCCAAAAGCAACTACAGATGTTAGCTTTAGGACCCTTCCATGTCCTAGCTTAGCTGTGCTATTGCTAAGACACCTGAGTATCACCGTGATATCTGAGCATCTGTGGAAAGCAGCAAGAGGGAGATGACGAGTGTATCTTCCTCTTTTTGCCTCCCCACAATTCTGAGCTGTCTATATTTATTGTGTTAACGCGGTTCTGGGTAGTTTCAATTATATGTAATTTTAAATTTCTTGCATTCCATGAGTTCAGTAACTGAGGGTGAGTGAGGCAGTAAATGAGTGCCAATCCGCTTGGTCATTGCAATGTGTGCGTGTATTACACACACACACACACACACACACACACACGAAGGTCGGCATCCACACCAGCAGCTCTGATTGCTTCCTCCTTTTCCTTTAAAGGCTGCTTAGATCTTTATACATGTCATCCTGACTGAGCTGTGAGTCACAAAAATGCAAGTGTCTCAAGGACTGACAGCTAAAAGTTTGATTTCAATAGAAAAATGAATAGACTCCAAGAAGTCTCATCCTCTGCCCTTCCTTTGACCAGCCAAGGGCATTTTAAGAAAAAGGGATGAGGAGTAGAAATCCGGGAAGCAGGTCTTCCCAAACCTATGCACTGATGGAGCCCAACATACCTTACAAAGAGTGAGTGAAATCCTGGCCCTGCTGAATGCAATGGGCGTCCTGCCATTGACATCAGAGGGGCCCGGATTTCACCTGGTGTGTCTGGCAGAATGTTAAGCACTAATATTAAAGTATAATTTATAGAACACATGCCCCGCTGTGGTACTTTCCCAAGGTTTTCTTTATTGCTTAGGTTGCATAAGTAAGTTGTGCATGTTTGGTTTTTAGCTTCCTTTTATTAGCACGGGGGCTCTGGGTTTCATCCAAATGGACTTTGACTTAAATTTTCAAAAGTGATTTTGGGGGACATTTTTTTAAAAGGGCCTGATTGTCAGAATGTGCAGAGCATCTGCTCTCTCAAAGGCTGTCAAGCCAGCACCCACAAACTGAGCCCCACCCCACCCCCCCACAAATCACTAGTAAATGGGTATGTGCACAACTGCCTGCTCCTAGGTGGAATGTCACCTGTTTGACAGGTTCCCATCAGGGGCCAACCTAGAGGACCAGCACCTGAGCAGCTGGAGAGGCCTTTGGCTTTGCAGATGTACTGCAACTTCCAAATAGAAGCAAATCCCTTTACATGGACTAGGGTTTAATTCAGTTGGTGTGTCAGTCCAGCCCTCTCCCGGCCAGCCTGAGGCTGGAGAGGGGCTCTCCTCCTGACATCTTGTACTGGAGTTCATGTTTACACCAGGAGGTTGGTCTTCACTGTTGCTGGCCTCACAGAAGTAGTTCCAGCACTAGCAGAAAAGCTTTAGGGATCTAATCTGGCTCCAGTTGAATTCAGTGGCCAAAGTAAGTGTTTTCAGGGGGAGGTGAATTAGCCTCAAGGGGCTGCTTGCCTATAGCATGAGGAGGAGATGGACAAGGGCAAGAGAAGGGATTGGGGGGGAGGGGGAGACATGAAAGCAGCAGGTCAAGGCGAGCAGGGGTGAAAAGAGCCCCACACACAACTGGCAAGATGTGCCAAGCCCCTTCTCCCTCTTCTCTATAGAGCAGCAGCAGGTCTGGTGCCTCCCAGAGCTGTCTTCTAGCTCAGGTGTTGAAGACTTTAAGTAACATTTGACTTTATTAATATGCCTTTTTCTAATGTCATGTCTCATGCAGCCCCAGGGTGTTTGCACTCTCTGTAGAGCAGGCATTGCATTAACTGGGAGAGGATTGCACAGCCTGAGAACACTCCCTGGTTAAGGAGATGGTAGCCTGACAGGGCCTAACTTGCGTAGCAATGTTAGTGCAGTGTGGGGGTGGGATGGATGAGTCACAAGCAGGGTCGTGGGTTTTATGGAATGTGTCTAGACATTGCAAAGGAGTCAGAGTCTCGCTCATGTGAGCGTGTATAGCTCCAGCCAAGTCAATGCAGCTCCAGAACCGGCCCACTGAATTTAATTTAGGCAGAGAGTGAAACCTCTGGAGCGCAGGGGTTCTCAAACTGGGGAGCGTGACCCCTCAGGGGGTCACAAGATTATTTCGGGGGGTGGTTGCGAGCTGTCAGCCTCACACATGTCGGGGCTCCGGCTGTCAACCCCCAGGTGTGCTAGGGCTCCGGCTGTCAGCCCAAGCCCTTTACAGCTGGGTGGCTGGAGAGCAGGGGCTGCTGGCCAGGCTCCCAGCTCTGAAGGCAGCAGCTGTGCAGAAGTAAGGGTGGCACAGTATGGTAAGGGGGGGGGGGGGGCCACTTTTTTGGGGGGGGGGGGGGACACCAGAGTGAAAAATTTTTGCGAAGAGCGTCACAGCAAAAAAAAGTTTGAGAATCCCCGGATTTGGGAATTGGCTGGCCGGGAAACTGGGAAAGGGCCCCCCCCCCCCCACCCCATCTACAGTGCAGCTCCTGTCCAAGCACAACTGTATGTCGGTGTTGGTCTGACTGCACATGTCATGCTGCACAGTCATGTTTGTAGCCGTATAGGGACAGCTATCCCACGCTGACTCAGCGGCTGGGGGAGAGGGGCAGAAGATTGTGGGTGTTTAATAAGGCCCAATGAGCTTTAGGGCAGGCTGACCTCCCACCCACACAGCGAGGAGGCAGGAGAACTGGCTGGCATTGCACACACGGTTAGGTGGTTATCTGCTGTAACGAGGAAGGACCATTTAGAACCTAGTTACAGCCCAATAATGATGCTCATGAGAAAAATCAAAGCATGGTGTATCCAACATGATTACGTTGCCAACAGCGTGTGTGAACATGAACTGGGTAGGGAGGCAGCCGCAGTACAAGCTGTACGGTAGAAGGGCCTCTCGCTATTGCCATGAAATGCCAAGCTGATCC